GTTTTATACATTTTAGTATCTACTATTGGTTTTTGAATTGAATATTTGCTAATATGTGTTAGTGCTATTAAGATTTTGGATAAAATATGCAATTAAATATTTTTAATTTTTGATATTAATTGGCGCCTTTGTTCAAAAAGGAAAACGCCTCGCCGCTCGGCTCGCCGCGTGGCGAGGCAGGCCCTTGTCGCCTTTTGCCGCCTCTCGCCGTCCACAACACTGGTTTGAGGACCATAACACCGTATATATATATATATATTATTTTACCAATATCCAAATTTAAATTCTCCAAAAAGAAAATATCAATTCTCAAACTAAAAATATACAGCGGTGGGCATGAAGACGGGGTTTGTAAACTTTAAAGGGCAGCCAGTATTCAATTAATGAAGATACCGAAATAACCATCTCGAATTGAAATAGTTCACTAACAGTTTGTGTATATACAAAACGTAATGACAATTAGAATAATAATTATAAAAAAATTGTGCCCCTTTCTGTCAGCCGTTTACATAGAGGAGGAAACACTCACCCCACATCTCAATGCCGCAACTATAACGAAACAAAGCCCTCCTTTTACCTATATCTTTTAGTTGTAAAAGACAAACTGCGGACATTGTTATACAGGGTACAATGCTGGCTAGTGAAGAACTCCCATTTCAAAAGACCACGTTCCAAAAATGAGGATGCTGAGACGGATGTGTGGACATACAAGGAGCGATAAAATTAGAAATGTGGTTATCCAGGATAAGGTAGGAGTGGCCTCCATGGTGGACCAGATAGAAGCTGGAGAGGTGCAAGAGGTCGGATGTAGTTGGCACGGGAAGAGGTAGAGCCGTAGAGGTAGGTCGAAAAGCATTGGACGAGGTGATTAGATAGGACATGATGCGACTTTAAATTATTGAAGGCATAACCTTAGATAAGAGGGGTTAGATGTCGTGTATCAGGGTCAAATGTTAGTAGGTAGTGGAGTGTTGCCTTGCTTGCTCTCGTTGTGCTAGCCGTATTCTTGTAGTTCTACTTTTCGATATCTATTATCATGTTTACTAGGTTTCCACTACTACACTATTTTGTTGTTGTTCATATTCTTTCTTTTAGGCTTTATAATGCTTCTCTTATTAGTTGTTATAATCACAATTTTCTTCTTTTTTATACCTGAAATTGCACACTTGAGACGAGGGTCTACAGGAAACCGCCTCTCTACCTCCACTCGGTAGTGGTGAGGTCTGCCTACACTATACCATCCCCAGCCCCAACTCGTGGAATTTCAAACAAATTTACTATGGAATTAATTTAATATCAAACACAATGATATTAACTTTTTATGACTTTTGTTTTTGCCCACATATCTCAAAAGGAGGTTAGAGCTCCGATTCCAGATTACTAGATTGACGGCAGAGAAGCGCTTCCATATGCTTGAAACTTTTTTTTAATGCACAAAAGTCTAAATAAGTAGACATAGTATAGGCTCTGATACCAATTATTTGGAACCAAAACACTTTAAGATGAAAACCATCATCTTTCCCAAGATCTACCATGTCAAATCATCAAGAACATAAAACTAGATGCGGAAGCATACTTGAATCCATGAGAATGGCTAAAATCCTTGCGTCTTGCAGTTGTTGGTCTTCCAAACATAGACGTAAGTTTTCATATTTTTTTGACGACGGGAGATCATAAAAGAAATTCTACATCAGGTTTAAGGACCATAATGCTATATTATAATGACATTCTTTAACGTTATCAAAAAATGCTATATTATAATGACACTAGTTTTGTATTCAAACTAGAAATAATAACCTGGTAGCTACATATAAGATGCCATACTTTAGGTGTCTTATAAACCCATTTAACTTCGAAACCTTGGCAGATCACTTTTAGTTTTGGTCAACATGTTTAATGAAGCAACACCAAGATACAATTATTCTTCTAACAATGTCCTCATGGTGGACTAGTTAAGTTGGACAGCTAGGCTGACTATGGTATAGTAGAATGTTGCCTTTCAGACATGCTAGAACATTCAGAGATCTGAAACTTTAAGACATTAGGAGCAAATAAGCCCCAAGCAGAAGAAGATAATCATGATGTTGGAAATTCGTTGAGGAGTGTGTCACAAGTTTCTAGTGATCAATATCACTGATGAAATTTTATGGTTCTAGGCTCTATAGTGTACTATACATTATGTTTCCTCTGCTATTTATATCTTATCCCCCCCAAAGTAGCTAGCTTTCGCTGCCCATGCTATTAAATAGGTAAAAGACAAAGATCTCTCTGGAAATATTTTGCAGTCCATAAATGAAATTAATATTTGTATGGTGTTTGTCATTTATATTTTCCGTTCTCTCGGATGATGTTTGTATATTTCTATGTTGCCCATATTAATCCATGTACACGGATTAGCAATGGAGCTCCCTTTCTATAGAGGGTGTAATATTACATTCACAAATGGAAATGCTTAATTAAGCTTAGCTTACAACCGCAAATCCATCACCTTTTGAAACTTATGTTCTCACGGATTGTTGTTTTCCCATCAGAATGAAGTCAATTAGCTTGCCGTACTCTACATTACTCACTGTGGTGGAAATTCTTGGTTGCAGGATGATACAACATTTGAGAAACAAAGTGCCTTGTTTGCTTTGGCTGTTGCAGATGTTGTGCTGATAAACATGTGAGTTTGTTTGTAGCATGATGTTTGGTGACTCAGAAAAATGAAGTTAACTTGCTCATCTAGCCCTTATTATAGATAACTGAATTTTTTAGTTTCTCTAGTTTGAGTATAACATTCTCGACAGTTTTCTTTGATCTCTTTGATATAACTTCTAGATTTTTCTTAGATTAACATATGGTTGATACCTTGATAGAACTGCATCTGGTGTCTTTCTGCCTCCCGAGAAACTGATAATACACTTATCTTGAAAAACTTGTTTATATTCAGAATAGGTGGCACCATTGAAGACATGATTGGCTTCTTGGACCTAAGTGCATTGTTAGAGGGTCCTTTATTGATTAACTTCTAGTTACCTGCCTTCTGTAAGTGGCAGCATAGGAAATTGACTTTACTCCTAAGCGTGCTATTGTTGAAGTCCTTTTTCATACTCATGAGAATTCCCCTAAAAAGAATATTTTTACTGGTTTTGGATGTGCTTTCCTCTTTAATTTTGCTTGTACCATCTGTTAAGATCACCTTCAATTATATTGTTGTTTGACTGGGATATTCCTCCTATATGTTCAGGTGGTGCCATGATATTGGTAGGGAGCAGGCTGCCAATAGGCCTCTTCTCAAAACAGTATTTCAGGTAAACTCTAGTTTATTTGGCTACTTACAAGTGATTGATTCTTCAATTGTCTGAATATTTTCTTGTTTGCTAGGTCATGATGCGTTTGTTTAGTCCCCGCAAAACTACCCTTCTTTTTGTTATACGTGATAAAACAAAGGTCTGGTATATCCTTCTATTCAACATGTTTTTAAGATTCACTAGTTGCCGTACTATTTACATTCCTGAATAGTATTGGCCACCGATTTTTTTCGAATTTCCTTGCACTTGCAGACTCCGCTAGAATATCTGGAGCCTATTCTGAGGGAGGATATCCAGAAGGTAAATGAATTTACTGTCGCTTTGAAGTGGTTGTTGTTCTAATTGAATTTGTTTATTCCTCTCTATGCTATGAAAAATAATCTGGCAAAAGAATGAAATATTTTGTGTTCAGTCTTATTATGAGTAACTAATTTTGCAGATATGGGATGCAGTTCGAAAGCCACATGCACACAAGGACACCCAACTCAGTGAATTTTTCAATGTGAGGGTTTTTCCTGTATTCTTATGTTATCAGTACTGCTGTCTATATTTATGATTCCTTATTTATCTTTCTATGATGTGAAGGTAGAAGTCACTGCTCTACCCAGTTATGAGGAGAAGGAAGAGCAGTTTAAAGATCAGGTAAGCCTTTTTTGGCTGCATAATATCTACTAGTACCAAATTGTTGTCATTTTGTGAATCTGATGGTTACCTATCTTAAGTGATTTTTACATGCCTTGGCTTTATACATTGTTCATTCAGGTTGCTCAACTTAGGCAGCTTTTTTTCCACTCCATCTCTCCAGGAGGCTTGGCTGGCGATAGGCGGGGTGTTGTTCCAGCCTCTGGTTTTTCTTACAGTGTACAGCAAATATGGGAAGTCATCAAAGAAAACAAGGATCTCGATTTGCCTGCTCACAAGGTTAAGCATGCCGGGTAATGAGTTGACAGCTTATTTGGTCAAAAGATATAATGATCAAACTATTTGGCTTTTGTAGGTCATGGTGGCCACTGTGCGTTGTGAAGAAATTGCAAATGAGAAGTTCAGTAGTTTGATGATAAATGAGGTCTAGCAAAATATCAACTGTTTTCCACTTTCTTGTTAGAACATAAATATACTGTGCTCAATCGTTACTCCAATATAGGACTGGCTAGCACTTGAGCATGAAGTGAAAGAGGATGCAGTTCGAAATTTTGGAAGACGACTAAGCTCCATCTTAGATAACTTTCTGTCAGAGTAAGTGGCTGTGTTATAACTATATTAGTTGGACCACTAATGCTATCCCAAAGGAGAGGATTGGTAGTATTGTAATTTTGTAGCAACTCCATTCATTTGTTCAAAGACGAGTTTTCAGAGGGGTTTGAAGAGTATGTCCAATCTGGACCGTCTTATTTTTGACCCTTTCTACTGCTCAAAATAGTTTCAAACTGAAGGTAGGATTAATAGTCCATTTATATATAACCTTTTCTCCACCTTCAGAATTGTAAAGCGTAGGTATTTCGCTCGTGTTGCAATTCTATGAGAAGGCAACAATCTTCATTTATAGAGAAATTTATATAGAATTCTTAAAAGGAAGAAACTTTTGACAGATTCCAGTGGGGGTGATCGAGGACGTGCTCGTACCCTTCATAGAAGGATATGAAGTAGTCATTTATTGGGAACTTTCAGTCCCATATATTCAAAATATGCTTCTCTAAGAGCACTATGATCAGCAACTCAGATGGTCTCTATGAAGTCTTTATTGGTCTTATTCTTATAGTGCACCTTATGATCATGTTTAGATCCGTGAAGCAATTGCTTGGATGTTCCCCACATCCCCTAACCTAACCCAGGAACAGGCCGGAGGGAAGCACAGCATGGGAATTGATAGAATGTATGCCTTCACTTAACGAGTAATGGACCAGGTCCGTTACTTTACTTCAG